TTAGGAGATGTGACCTTGTTGAAGTGGGTTGGTCTTGTTGGAGGAAGTGTCTCACTGTGAGGGGGTGAAGAATGTGGCTGCTTTTTGCCCTTGTCTGAAAAGTTTGTTTGAGGTGAAAGTAAAGAAATTTGGGATAGGAAATCTCAAAACAGCCTAGTACAGACTCTACTGTGTGGTTACTAGGGTTAACTCTAATGAAGATATATAATGAAAAGGAGCAAGCTGAGCAAGGAAAAATATTTGAGGAGAAAAGGAGCACCAGAAAGTGGGATGGAGCTAAGTCCAGTGTTCAAGGAGAGAAACAAGATTAAGAAATGGAATAAAGGGAGTGGTGACCTCAGGGCAAGACCCCACCCAGCTAAGATTCCAACGTGAGAAAAGGAATTTTAAAAAAGCTTAGAATAGGGTGTGGTGGTGCTTGACTTTAATCCCAGCACTGGGGAGGAAGAGGCTGGTGGATCTCTGAGTTTAAGTACAACCTGGTCTACAGAACAAGTTCAAGGACAGCCAAGTTTAGGCAGTGAAGGAAGACAGAAAACTGGTGAAGATGTAATTAAACGAGGGAGCCATGTTTCAGCCCTAACAAGCAGCAGAATTTGTCACCTTCGGCCATGTGGTTCTGAACTTAAGGACAGAAGAAAAGGGTTATAGAATTTGCCTCTTCGACTAAGGAAAGCCACTGAGGTCAGGCATATGTCAGGAGTGTCCCTGAATGGAAGCCTGGTGAGGCCATTGCATAAAGCTTTGAAGTTAAAGCCTGGATTACCTTGGAGAACCCAAGATGTTGGAGATGCCAGAGCCATGGGATACCTGCCGAGAAAAGCTGCTAACAGGGAGTGGAACCAGCCCAAGAGAAAGAAATCAACAAAGCTGAAAGGAGTTGGAGATCTGTTTTGACATAAGACATGGAGATCCTCAGTCTGGAGTTTGCCCAGCTGGTTTTCCATCTTGCTTTGGTCCAGTATTTCCTCACTATGCTCCCTTCACTACATTTTAGAATGGTAATATATATCCTGTGCCATTATATGTTGGAAGTATGTGATCTCTCAGAAGAGACTTTGGACTTTGGACTTTAACACATTGTTGAGACTGGGATAAACTATGGGGACTTCTGAAGTTGGATTTAATGCATTTTTGCATTATAATTTGACTACAAGCTTTTGGGGGGCCAGGGGGTGGAATGTGGTGTTTTGAAAGAAAATGGTCCCCAAAGGGAGTGGCACTATTAGGAGCTGTGACCTTGTTGGAGTAGGTGTACTCTTGTTGGAGGAAGTGTGTCACTGTGGGGGCAGGCTTTGAGGTCTCATATATGCTCAAGATACCACCCAGTGTTTCAGACCACTTCAGCGCCATTTCTGCCTGCCTGCTGCCATGTCCTACCATGATAATGCTGAGCCTCTGATCTATAAGCTACCACCTCAATTAAATGTTTTCCTTTATAAGATGTGGTCACAGTGTTTCTTCACAGCAATAGAAACTCCAGCCAAGACACCTACTCTTTGGGGTTTTTCTTACTTGACCTTAATAAATCTATGTTTACTTTGCTAAAATAAAAAAGAGAGAATAATGGTTGGATAATACAGCGTTAGCTGATCCCTTAGAGAAAAACAAACCTTGTTTCCCAGGAAAGTACAGCATATGTAGTATGTGTCCAAGGAAGCAATCTTAACTTGAAGCCATCTTTGCTGTGCACGTTTCCAAGGGAAACCAATACTCCTACCCAGCTGCAATGACTAACTGGGGTTACTAGTGATGCCCTAGTAACTATAAAGATGCAATAGTGGCACTCATATCTTGGCAGCAACCAATGTCTGTGTAATTGGAGTCTTTAGACCAATTAGTCACTCACTAAGATGGAAATCATGGCTGGTATGGGAAACCTAGCCAACCGCCTGAGGTAATGGATCTTAGAGAAGAACATATTACCACCACCATTTCACCATTTTAAACTAGCATAATTCCTAACTGCATTCTACTTATCTGTCTTCATAACCATAGATAGGTGTCGTCCTCACACTATGTCAAAGATATTTATCTTTGCAAGTGGAGACCATACAGAAAAGCACAACTGGTCAAACGCAGAAAGCAAGTGATCGCGGGATTTCTAACTTCACTGATACATCTGTAACATAATTCCTGTGCCTTAATAAAGCTCGGGAAGCATTTTGGAAGGTGAGGGGCTGGAAAGATTGTAAGAGCCAGAGGACCAGGAAAGCTGCTGTGGGATTGTGTTTCCTAGGAGTGACAGGGAAGCGGCACCCATGATACCTTAACAAGATGGCTGTCTAAACAAGACCTGAAGAAGTAGACCACCAATAGACGTGTCAGCATAGAAGGAGGGAATCTTACAGGGCCCTGTCCACAGATGGGGAACAACAGGCAATGGAGGGATGCTGAGAGCGAGAGAAATAGTCTTCCCCAGGGGAAGAGGTCATGATGTTGGGAGGGGGCAAAGAGGAGTACATGACAGTCGCTGGAAAGAGAAAAAGGAATGGGAAAATATATATAATTATATATATATATATATATATATATATATATATATATATCACATAGATATATGATTTACTTATATATAAGATTTATTTATGTATACATATAAAAGATTTATTTATTTTATGTATATGAGTACTCTATCTACATGTACAACTTTATGCCAGAAGAGGGCATCAGATCCCACTAGAGATGGTTGTGAGCCATCATGTAGTTTCTGGGAATTGAACTCAGGTCCTCTGGAAGAGCAGCCAGTGTTCTTAACTGCTGAGCCATCTCTCCAGCCCCAATGTAATTACATTTTAATAAAAGAAATTTATTTAAAAGTCCCTCGCATATAACAGCTGCTCAGTAGGTCACAGCAGGCATGTACTTCACAATGATAAATTATATATATGAGCTTGGGCTCTAGGCCCAGGCTGACTGAGTTTGACTCTATGCTTTGTGAGCTGGGTATTTTGAGCAAATAAGGTTACCTCATTAGTAAATTGGGGGTGATAGGAGTACACACATCATAGGTAGATAATACATGCAAAGTGCTTTGAATACTCATTAGTATTTAGTGTGTAACAAAAATTAATTATTTTGTTATTATTTGCTGTGGCCTGCCACGGCCATACAGTTTGTAAGCAATATAAGTCTCTGTGTTTACTTGGTTGGGTCTGAGCGGCTGTGGGACTGGCAGGTGACAGAGATTTGTCCTGACTGTGGGCCAGGCAGAAAAACTCTGCAATTATTCCTTTCAGCTTTTGGAGACTCCGAATCCTTTCAAAGTCTTATACTAAAATCAGGGAGAAACTTCAAGTAAGTCTTAGGTATAAAACACATTCCAATCAGGCTGGAGATGTGGATCATCAGGTAAGAGTGCTTCCTGCTCTTCCAAAGGACTCAGGTTTCGTTCCCAACACCAACATCAGATGGCTCACAACCACCTTGAACTCCAATTTTGGGGATCCAATGTCCACTAGTCTTTGTAGGCAGATTTGGTAAATGCTCCTCCCCATTCAGCGTTCATGGTGACAACCAGGCCTTCTAAGGGAAAAAGCATAAACAAGGTTCCAGGCAAGGCCATAATGAACTCATAAGTGGTAACAAAAATCTTACTGTGCAACTGTGAACGTGCAACTCTATGTGTTCCGTGGAGTGGGATTCTGATTACGACCTTAGGGAGATGTTTAGAAAGAGGCAACATTTACAGTGAACAGAGAGGAACACAGATGAGCCAATCATGGTGCAGTCGCATGAAAATGCTCTTTTGTTCCCAGACATGGCAGACATCCCGTGCTGTTGGTGTGGAGGCAGAGGGTTCTGAGCCGAGGAACCAAGGACTCCGGGTCATTAAGGGAGCTCAGATACTTAACTCCTCTTGGGTTCAAGGCTGCAGCGTCTCTGATGTAATTCCCTTAGGAACAGGTCCTAGGTGTGACCTCTCATTTCCTCCTTGTCCCTGTAGCCTGTGCCTGACATCAATCCCCATAGCCTTTGCACCTCTGCATGTAAACAGTCCAGCCCCCAGATCTTTTCAAATCTTTTATAGACCTGTTGGTCTGTAACTCATTAACCTGTTGTCTGCGGTAAAATATACAAAAGATGAAATGACACATGGCTTTGTACAAAGGACTGGGCCCTTAGGGTACAAAGCTGAGCTTAATAAGAGGGAAAGTAGCTGGACTCTGGGAGGCAAGTAATAACAATGACATACGATGATGATGCATGGTATGTGGGTGGGGCTCAGAATCTGTTGAATAAATAATAATAAAGAATAATGTAGGAATGGCTGATGACTTTCTTTGCAGTGCAGGGTGTGGTGGTTTGAATGAGAATGGCCCCCTTCTCATATTCTGGAATGTTTGGTTTCCACTTGGGCTGTGTAGGAAGGATTAGCTGGTGTGGTCTTGTTGGAGGAGGTGTGTCACGGGGGGGGGGGGGGGGGGGGGGGGGGGGGGGGGGGGGGGGGGGGGCTTTGAGGCTTCAAAAACTCAGGACAGGCCCAGTTTCTGTCTCCTGTTTGTGGATCAGATTTAATCTCTCAGCTACTGCTCCAGCAACATGCCCCCCTGCCATGCTCCCCGCCATGATGGCCATGGACCCACCTTCTGAAACTGTAAGTAAGGCCTCAAGTAAATAATTTTTAAAATAAGTTGTCACGTTCATGCTGTTTCTTCACAGCAATGGGACGGTGACTGAGACACCAGGTGTGACTCCATATGACCAACTACCCAAGCGACAATGCTTCCTAGTTAGCAAGAGGAAGGAGAGGGAGAACAGACACGAATATGCTGGCTCTCAGTACAAGTTTGAGCTTCTTCTTGAGTTAGTAGCTCTGTGCCTGGCCATTTCCTCTTCCAGGGGAGGGA